TCAGCCCATTCCTGAGCTGCCACGGTATTGAATTAAGTAGGCCTCATGCATCTCTGCAGTGCTGCAAGGTTGACGCAATGCGCCCAGACCCTGATACAGGAGAGGGAAGCACAATTATGTGGCTTCACGAGTGATCAATTGTCCATTCTTTTGGGAGTTGCTCAACAGGTTTGGCATATGCAAAGGCTTGCTGGAACTGCCTAAATGATGCCCAAAAAGAGGCATCCTGAAATCAATGCCTGAGGAGAAGCGTCCGACTGGAGATTCCATGGACACACTGGTGCCTTGCGAACTGATTGGCAGGACTTGCGTGACAGGCAGACTTGAGACTTGTTTGCTTGCACTGCCCAATCCTGAGTCTGTACTTGTGATCGTGCAAATGCGAGCGAGGACACTTGTGGTCAAGCTCCACAGACCCCTGGCTTTGCTTGGCTTGGCCAGGGTGAGACAATCGAGGACCACTTTGCGGATCGGCGAGGTTCTAGCATCTCGGTGGACCAACTTCCTTCATGTTTCAGCAACTCTCGGAGCTTTTATGAAAAGCGTGCTAGTGCAAGCTTTGCCCATTTGCCCCTTTTGGCGTCACATCCATTTGTCGAGACTTAAGTCAATAAACCCCCGTAGACTTGTGAGCTGTGTAGTTGCACCAGTTTCGTTGTTTGCTACGAACACAACTTTAACCCCAAAACCCAAGGCAACTCAGGCAAGCAAACATCATCAGAGTCTACAGCACGTCATTGCCGCTTTTCTGCGAGTTTAGCGTTGGAGCTCTTTTGTTCTTGACTCAATTCTTGACATTTCACATAGACAAACAGCGCTGCTGATCCTGAGCAAGCTGTCTGACTGGCCAGTTCTGGTAGGAATGACTACACGTGTTTTATTTGCAATCGAAGGCCAACGGCAGTGTTTAGCAAGAGTCAACATAGCGGTTATTTCAGTCATTTGCATGCTTTATGCAAGGTGGCTTTCGCACTCTGCAATGACCGTGGCATAACTGTCAAGCGCGAGGGCCCGCATACACAGCATCACTATTTTTTGGTAGCGGAAATGGATGAACAGGTGGAATTCAGGAAGTCTACACAAGTGCCGCAGGCAAACCATCCACCAGGTAAACTGTTTGTAGTCAGGCACTGCACCTAGCAAAGGCACCAAGCAAGATTGACTTAGTTTGGCAAATTTGGGCAGGAGAGCCTTTGTTCCTACTTTTTCCCTCCCAAAGCAACTGCTTTAACGCACATGTACTCCTGCCTACGCTATGGCGTGCGCTCGGCATTTCTCCACAGTCTTCAACACAGGAGCCTGTTTCTGCCGCTGCATTGTGACACATTGTGTCACATTGTGACATGGGAAATTCAAGAATCGGAAGAATCCGAAGAATCGGAAGAAAGTGACTCCCAGGGCTCGATTGAAGCTGGTGGCCGTGGGCACTGGCACCGTCTGCACAGGCGTTCGGGCCTCTAGAGACTCTGCCGAGAGAGGGAGAGAGAGAGAGAGAGAGAGAGTGAGCAAGCGAGAGAGAAAGAGAGAGAGATTGAGCATTTGAATCATTTGGGGTTTGAAATCTCCAAGGTGCTCTGTGCCAGATCTTTGCAGGACATTATTGTTGGAGCAAGCCTCATGGTATACCAATGCCTTGAGAGCCTTGCATGCCCTCAAACGGCTTGTTCGGATGCGCTTGGCAGGTTGGTTTGCTTCGATGATCCCCGAGCTGTAATTGTAAACGCTTCGCGTTGCCCGCCTCTGCCAGTCCGCTCTTGGCTGGCTTTGAGGTATGCACTGTGCTTCATTTTGCTTTGAAGTCTTGCGTTTATTGGACGGAGTGAGTCGGCTCCAAAATGCGTGAGCTGGTTTCCAAGGTAGAGGGTGGGTGCGTGCCTCTGTGTCTCCACGTGGCTTCAAGGGCCAGAACAAGAGCCGCAGAGAGCTACAGAATGGCAGTGAGCTTGAGCCGGTTTCTGGGGGGATTTGACCGGAGTTGGACATGTTTTTAGAGGGGACTTGACAGGTTTCTAGAGGGAGTTTGATGGGTTTCTACGGCTTTTTGAGGGGGGTTTGATTGGTTTGGAGGGGAGCTTGACGGGTTTTTAAGGGGATTGTGACCGGTTTCTGTTTGGCCGGAGTTGGACCGTTTTGTAGAGGGCATTTGGACGGGAAGTTGGCCGGTTTTTCGGGGTGATGTCTGGAAGCAGCTGGGGGGGGGTCTCGGACAGACCAGTTTCAGTTGGATCATCCCGCCCTGAGGGCCGAGGCGAATATTCCTGCTGTGAGTTGCGCGCCGCTGCTTGCTTGCCGCGTGAAATATGGCAGGTTGAGACTTTGTCAGCCTGGCCCTAGCTAAGCAAATTGGTAGAGCCGCCGCGCCACTCCTAGCGCAGATGCCCGAAACATTCGCAGGACTCTTGGGATAGCCTCATCCCGAAGATGGCCAGATCCGAGTCCGACGGCCTGTTCGTGCTCCTCGACCAGCTAGAGCGCTGACTCTTCTGTGTGTCAGCTTTGAGCCGGGATCAACAGCGCCTCATCACGCAGGACAAGACGAGGCTGACTACGACCAGCGCTGCCAACGCTGCGGGCAAGATGGTCAAGGTGCGTGGCAAGATGATGGGAGCGCCGCAGCGAGCCTGAACGGCGAGGATTCAAGATGGTGGTCAGGGAAGCGCTGATTTGCCTTCGCGCAAGCCCTGGCGTTCCTGAACATTGGAAAAGCAACTGTCCGTGTTTGTCCTCAGCCTCACCTACGACCATATCTCCTTCGTCGCGCCCGGCCAAGCGTGCTGTTTGCGGCGCATCAACCTGAGCAGGCGAGTCGCTTGGTCCAGCGCTATGCTTGTCGAAAGGGCCATGGCAATGACGTCAGCGTTGTCGAGCTGTTGAAGCTACTTGGCGCTTCGTGAAGCAACCGCGGCCGCCTGGCGAGCTCACCAATGACGTCCTCAATCCTGGACATCTTCGACCTGGAGACTATGAGAGTGCTCTGACGCTACGAGCTGCAGCCCGACATGCCCAATCCGCGACGGGCGCCAGGCGGCGAACTTCGCTGCAGTTGTGGCCACGCACGTGGCCTCACAGTGTCAAGCCGTTGCTTGGCGACCTTCTGAAATCTGCAACAAGTCAACCGCAACCTCTGCGTTGGAGAGAACTCAACTCCCCAAAAAGAAACTGCTGCGATGCGTTAACCAAACTCCTCTGCAACAAGCAACGTTGAGCCTCAAGAGCCTCCACACCAACGAGCGTCCAGCGCCTCAGCCAATTATAGGGTTCGTGGCTACTACGCCCGGCGCACGCAGCGCGGTGGCACACGCAGCCCGGTGGGGCGCCCCTTCGTAGCAGAAACCCAGGCCCAGGCTGGGCCGAGCCGCGAACTCTTGAGCCTCGTCCGCAAGCGCTTCCAACGGCACGTTCTGAGAAGCTGAACTGTGAGGCCTGCTTCACCGGCGCTGCCAAACATTCTGTTAGCAGGCTACGGCAAGCAACCCCGTGTGTGTAATCCAAGCTCGAGCCTCAGCGACCCTCCTGGAAGGACAGCGTGCTCAAGCCAATGCTGACCGCCGCGCTGGGCTAGAGATCATGGTCAAGAAGGAAGGTGGCGAGCTTTGGGGGGCAGTCCTGCATGGCTCCACGACGCCTTCCTGCAGACCGTTTTCGGCGGCGCCGCTTGAAGCTCGCAAAAGGACCGTCGAAGACCGAGCGCCAATGCAACACGCACCGAAGCCCACCATGTTCGTCGACGCCCAGACCGCCGCTCTTGTGGACCCCAGCCACAGGCTGCCGTGGCTGGCGCACATCCGTCTGCGGAAACACTTTCAGATGCAAATGTGGCAGCGTTCTGGTTCTCGCAAGCACTCGGACCGAAACCAGAGCTCCTGCTCAGCTCGCGGAAAGCTGCCGAATCAGACCTGAGGAAGTGCTTTGGTCACGTGTGAGCTGCGTGCGGCGCAACGTGATGTGCATGACACCCATTGCCTGTGGCAGTGTGGCTCAACGTTTACGGGCCGCCAAACGCTGAGAACATACCTCCTTCGGAGCCTTCTCGCCTCATGGCTGCGCATGGCTTGGCGCTCCTGCCGCTCCCCATGTTTCTACTTGCGGTTTGGGACTTCGCCCTAGCCAATCAGACCTGCTGTTGCAACTTGTACAAGGGCCATATCATCTGGTGTTACTTAGCATGTGTATGCCGTTTGCATTGACACCTGCTCTTGGCACAGACCCGGCTCGCTCAGTAAGCATGACCCGATGCGTTGGAAGTGAAGCTTCAACTGCAGGATTCAGTGCGCTGCGAAGTGGAGGCTGATTTGTGGAGCCATGCCTGACCAAAGCCTGTGCCCTGATGCCTGCAAGGCGAAGGCAAGCCAACCACCGGTGCGCGTAAACTATGCTGGGTCATGGCCTCTCGAGCGGAGAACAAGTTCTGACAGTAGGCTGCAATGCATCCCGAGGCCACGGAGATCGAAGCGATGGAAGTTGTGGCATTGCTTTCGGGCACGCAGCCCTCGATTCGGAGTTGGGCTTCACGATCAGTGTTGCAGGTCTGGGCACGATGCTTGGAGTTGGCCTTGCGAGCATTGCCCCTGATCGCTGTGGCGCAACGCTCCCAGATTTGGCTTGGAGCGTCTCAGCTCTTTGCTTTGCTTCCGAGGCCGGCGTGCTGGCTGTTCTGGGCACATGGTGGGGAAAGGCCCCCGGTTGGTCCACATGCTTGATTGGAACTGATGGCAGAGCTGTTAGTGGTGAAGAAAAACAGGCAAACCCTGCTTGATCATTTGCCTCATGCCCAGGGCATTATTGTTTGTTGGAACTAGCTCAAGTCCCGAAGATGAAGGCCGCGGAAATGCAAGTCCAGAAAGCGAGCACCTCGAAGATTTGTCGGTCTAAGGTCTTGTGCAAACAAACTTAGAAGTTCCAGCACATATGCGTTCATGTTTGGATCTTTGGGAGAATATTGTGCCAGCTTGCTGTGGCGCCTGATCCTCGCAGCTTTGCAGGCAGGCCGCAGGTGTTTTATGACGTTGCTGCAGAAAGCTTGTTCCAAAAAGTCTCATGAGGCAGAAGGGCCCATCGCCATCAAATTCGCACAGTGGGCGTCAACAAGACCAGACCTTTTGCCTCGAAGCGCTGCTTGACTCGCACCACGAATCTGTTGAGGAGCAATTGAGCTATGTTTCAAACCTCACACGACTCGAGTACGAGGGTCCGTACTTCGTTTCATGTATGAGTCTAGGCACGCAATGCACAATGCACTGATTAGTTGATGCTCAGGTCTGTGACCACCTCTCCCCATTGCAGGCCACATGTCCACAGTCGCACATTTTGCAAGCATGCATGGTGAGGCCAGCGTGAAACCGCACAATTTTCGTCAGACCAAAAGGACTAACGCAGCGTTGTGAGTAGAATAGGTTCAGATTTCGCCTGTCACCAGCTCTCAGGATTCTGACAGACACGTTCGGCCCAACTTGGGAGAGCTCACTACAACTGGCTCCATCCTCAGAAGAGAATCAACAGCGAGGTTCTTGA